TTGTAATGCGTTTGGCGCAGATAAACCACAGAATGGCTGAAACACTTTGTATCTGTCGAACAGAGTAGACATCTTGAGCATGTTTGAGCTGCAGAGAGTCGCGGACCATTTTCCAATCTCTCATGAGACGCTGCAAAGACATGAGTCTCTCTAGTCGCATGTCTCACGTGATCCCATCCTCAGCCAATCCTTTGTGGGGAAGCTCTATCGGGTCACGCTGAAGACAGGCCGCTGGGTGGCTACTATATTGCTGCGCGCGGGCCTTGGGTGTGCGGCGTGTGCTCATTGGCTTCGTGAAGCTAGGCGATGAGGGAGACGCGGAGCGTGTTTCGGCGTACAGCTGTAGATCAGCTTGAAAGACAAGGCGACAAAAGCTTTCAAATTCTATTGTGTGGCAGGCGCCGAAGGAACCAGTGCAACTTGGTTTCGTTCAGCAGGGATGTTTTTTGAAGGCAGCCACATGGGACATGGAAACAACGACGATGGATCTGTCTCAGTTTGTTCAGCTTGCTCAACGCTGCCAAACAATCGAGGATGACATTGATGATTCACGCATCGAGCTGTGGAACATCCCATGGGACGTGAAAATCCAGCGAGGTGAGGTCTGCTGAGTCGATGATGTCGAGGGCTTTGTCTGCCGAGTCGATGATCCAAAGAGACATCCAAGAAGCTAGTAACAAGAAACGGAGCAAAGGTCTCGGGCCGAAGATCTCCAACCGTCTCAAGGCTTCAAACTGGCCTTAAACATGGCTTCTCCGTGATCGTGTTTGGAAAAGGGGCATTTCGGAGTCTCAGGAAAAGGCTTTCTAGGGCTTCAGCAGCTCAGGCAGGTGTTTTTGTTTCTTCAATTCAATTCCAGCAACTGCAGCACCTCCAGGCTTCAAGCTTGCTTCAACAGCGCTGGAGGGAGTCTACCTGGTGTCCAATTGTTGCTGGGATGGCGAGCTGCGGGATGCGGGCTATCCATCCCAAGGACTTCTTGCAGAATTTCCGCCTTGTTTCTCGCCCATGGCAAGGTGACCTGTTGAGCTTTGAAATCTTGGACGGTGGGAGCAAATTGATTTGTGGCTGTCGCAGCTTGGAGAAGATTGCTGGTGTGGGTGGCGTGGATCAGCCTTTGTATTTCTTGGCAATTCTTGCAACTTGGAACAAATCCGGGACTGAGGTACAAAAGTCGCGGTGCTTGAAACTCGGAACAACTCTGCGACGGCTCGCGCTACAAGCATCGAGGTTGAGTCTTTGGCGTTGCCCCCTTTATATCAGGCCCTTGGGTGCCGAATTTTGCTTGGGTGATCACTGGTGAAGTTGGTTTGTAGTTTGCAGTACTCAGCACTCAGTACAAAATGATTGTTTTCACAGAATGACGATCTCGGAAGGTGTTGCAGTTTGAGAGATACAAACGATCATGGAATCTCCAAAACCAAGCCCTATTTGCCACATTTCACTGTATGCCTCACTGAAGTCCCACTTCGTCCACCTTAGTCACATTGGCAAGGTGAGAGGCCCACTGACATCCAACAGAGAGGGTCCAGTGCTGGCAGCAACATCGCTAGTGCTATTAGGTTGGAGGCCATCGCCAGATTGGAGGCCATTGGTAGTAGGTTATCAGCCAGGCCACCGTGGCGCATGCCTTGCAACGCCACGAGAATTATGCCTTGGGAACCAGTCACGGCAGTATATGCCTCCTCGGTGTTGGAGGAGAGACTGTCAAGGAGAGGGTTTGTGAGAGCACAGACTATACAATGAAGCCGCGTGTTTCTGACTTGGTTCGGAGGGCCCTCCCCGCGGCACTAGTTGACGAATCGCTCCAAGACTCAAAGTTGTTTGAAGTAGGTTGCCAACTTGTTTGCAAGGACAACCCTCCATGATTCTATCCTGGTGGTCGTATCAATGTCCTTGCACTCCCTTCTGATGGCACCAAGCTGTATAGCGGTGCCTGAACTGGAAGGGCAGGCATAGCTCATTTTGAGGGATGTATGATGTTTCTGATCGCTTGACGAGGTCGCTGAAACAGCTTCATTCGTGTTTCTGTTGCTGTGAAAAAAGACAATTTAGAAGAGTGTTTGTGGTGTCAGGATTTGCCAACTCCAAGTGTATGACCTTCCCTCCATGAGCTGCTGCATCTCAATCTCAATCCATCGTTTTGAATCCTTCAAAGGAGGCCATTGCTATTAGGTTGGAGGCCACTGCTAGCTGCTAGTAGGTTGGAAGCCAGTGCTATTAGAAACAAAGAAAAATGAAAAGGAAGAAAAGTCTAGTATAGTTTCGTTTTGCCTTCACAGGACTTGACTTGGGCCGAGACACTGTGACTTTAGGAAGCAGTCATGCGGCAAAAAATCTTTCCTGTTGAGACGGGTTTTGCCAGGCTTTAGAAGAAGCCAAGCCAGAGAAGAAGGCCGTGGTTTGATTTGTGAGGTTTGCATTACTTGCAGCATTTCGCACAGATTTGAATTGTTTTTCAGTGAACGATTCCCTTTCGGAACGTTTCAGAAGAAGATCACTTGTCCTGAAGAATGACCTTGTCCTGAAGAATGCTTCATGCAATTGGACCCTGCGCAGGATGGCTTGGAGAGATGCAGAGGGAGGATGTTGGCAGATGGCACTGAGGGGACACCCTGGCAGTGATTTAGTTGCTACTGTATCATCCTGCTTGGTAATTCCTCTAACCGCACATTGTATACATATTTTAGTTACATTGCGCGTACCAAAGACTTGAGGCCACTTTGGATTTTTGGAGATTGACAAGAATCCTGTATATAGATCCTTTGCGCTTATCTCCAAGTGACACATGCCAGGTGGTTCACTGTGACGACGAAGTCCTTTGTGCCGTGGTCGCCGACCTACAAATGCATCTCGAGGCCCAGCGTAAGCATATCCAAAACTCCAACAAAGACGAATGAGTCTCACTGCCCTGATTTTTTGTGCACACAAAGTGCACCATGGTTTGAACCAACTCTCTGGGAATTTGGTCTCTCCGTTTGAGACGACCCAAAAAGTTATCCAAAACTCGATGAAGTAGATGGCTGCTCCAGCACCGTCCTCAACGATGGCGCAGAGATCAAAGAGGCCAAGGCGCTTCGCAAACTGGTTGGGCTCTCAGGTTGGAGGTGCGCATGAAACGGAGAAGTACAGAGAGCAAGCGAGAGAACTGAGTGAGTTTGCGAGCTTTGCGAGGTTTGTTGGTTTTGAATTTCTTCATGCTGATTGCAAGGAATCTCAATGTAGTAATGTTCTTGAGGAATGCACAGGGTGGACCAGTTTTTCCTAGTGGTTAAGACTGGAGAGTGATTGAAGAGCAGTGCTTTGCTGCCTTCTGAACCAGCAGAGCACCTGGCAACGTTCAACGCACCAAGGAGCCCGGCGAGATAGTTGAAGCGGTTGACACTCCGATCTTTGAGAAGTCGGCAGGAGCAATGAATCTCTGAAACATGATGAATCATATCAAGTTGCAGATTGGAGGGAAATGCCAAAGTTTGGATCAAGATTCAAGATTGAGAGAAGAGCCATATTTCTTGTTAAAGCTGCTGCAGGACTTCTTCGACTACGACTACGGTCCCCAAAGGCCAGATAAAGATGATGTCCCTTAGTGAGACTGAAGCTGGCACGGTGTCTAAAGGTTGCGAAAGGGCAGCTAAGGCCTACTCTGGGCATATAGCTCGTTGTGCACCTGTTTGTTTTCATGGTGTAATGCCAAAGCCTTGTCAGGATAACCTCATTGGGTTTGCGACGGTTCGGGGGAATCAAGTTGGGCGCCCGAGATTGATTGGGGGACCAATACCAAGCAAGGCAACGCTGAGGAAGGCTAGAAGGCTAAAGGCCTTTCACGGCAGTCTTGTGAGTGCTTGGGCTGGCAATCTTGGCTACTGAGCTTTTGCCAAGGGCACTGTGCTGTTGCAACCAGTGCTGGATGATGCGGAGAAAAAGCCTGCTGCGAAGTCCGCAGCAAAGCGGGATGCCCAGACAGCTGAAGCGACAGATGAATCACGACTGACTTCCTTTTAGACTCCTTTCAAAAATGCCAGAACCGGGGCGAATCAATCCTTTCAACTGTATTGCTGAGCCAAGAGAAAACAAGATCTTGGATTCCAAAGAATTGAAGGATTCGCCATTTGTTCAGTTTGTTCACCAAAAAACATCCCTTGGGCTGTCTAAGGCAGGCGGAGAAGAAGGCCTGAGATCAAGGTAGGCGGTGAGCCTTCCCTGGGCCAATGCAACTACAGAAGCTGCCTGAGCCAGCCGAAGGTGCACATGCAACCAGGACCCTAGCAGCCCTAGCAACCAGGCCCTCCGGTCACCCAGGTCATCCCGCACCCCAACCTCGCAACAAGTCCCCCAAAACAATATCACTGACTCACATATGTAGAAATATATATAAATAACATTCACTTCGTTTTTGTTGTCAGATTCTTTGGATGCAAAGCGACCTTTTTCATGCAATCTTAAGAGCCTTGCTATCAACGCGATCTCCACATGGCGTGACCACGTGACGCGCGGAGTTAGAGGGAGCAAAGAGCTCGTGATAGGGCGCAGTTTGCAGCAGTCTTCGGGCCGTGAGGACTCAGGGATCACCAAGAAACTTAAGGGTGTCAGGATTGATTGTCATGCCAGTTCACGAGTGCCTGTTCACGAGATAGAATGCTTCAGACCATATTGGTTCAGTCTTAATTCTAGAATTGGCAAAGAATTGCCAAATCTGGAGAGATTAGTTCGAGCATGTTCGAGCTTTGAATGATCATGAGACGTGGAATCAGCAATGGCAACTGGTTGTTAGACTGGATGAAACTGACGCGCATATATTTTGGCTCCAGCATAGCTTTGCCCTAAACACCACAGCAGGAGGCTGCGGGTGTTTTTGGTGTTGCGGCATACCAGGCCACAACTTTGGCTGGCAACATGGCCAACACCCAGACAGCAGCTGGTGTTCAGAACAGATCTTGAGGCTGCACTCCAACACCATGATTGAGGCAGTCTGAGCGGGCATCCGTAGAATTCCCAGTCTAGAAAGCAGGGGACTACCAAAGTTGACACGGCCTCCGAGTTCCTTGAAGAATTATGGGGTACTTGGTTTGTTCGCGAGGGTCGTTCAAATGATTCATTCAGTATACTTTTGAAAACTAGTAATGTGGTCCTCTGATTAATAAACGCCCCCAGAATAATGTCAGCAACTTCCCTGCACTGATTAATAAAGACCACCAGAATATAGTGTTTTGTTTTTTGGAGTAATATTTTTGGTGACATACTTTTCTATTGTTTTAATTGTTTTTTTTACTCTCTGGTTTAATGATTTTGAAGATCTTTGGATGCACATGTCCATCAATAATTGGAGATCTCCATTGAGCTTTGGTGACTTTGAAGGCTTTTTCTTTTGATCAAGTCCTTTACTTGTCATTATCTCTTTAATCTTTACGGCTTCCAAAAAATACCAAAAGTACATGCGCACTTTCTTTACACAAATCCTTATTCAAAAGCATTGAAACAACAACCAAATCATTCCAGCAAAGGGGGTAGTCCAGCAAGCAAGTTTCTGTCATTATTTTGAGGGGGCCCCTAAAATAATGTCTAAAGATTTGGGGCTTCTTGGATTGCAGCTTTCCTGAAACTGATCTTCAATCTGTGTGTTTACTTTTCCGTTTGATCAAGTCCTTTACTTTGATTATCTCTTTAATCTTTAAGTCTTCCAAAATTTCTTAAAACGTATGTGCGCACTTTCTTTAAAATAATCCTTATTCAAACACATTGAAGAACACAAAAAAACATTCCAGCAAAGGGGGTAGTCCAGCAAGCACGTTTCTGTCATTATTTTTTTGGGGCCCCTAAAATAATGTCTAGAGATTGGCAGCTTTCCTGAAACTGATCTTCAATCTTTGTGTTTACTCTTCATTTTGATCCAGTCCTTTACTTGTCATTATCTCTTTAATATTTCAGTCTGCCAAAGAATTGTTTCCTTTGATTTTTAATAGCAAATGTCTTCAATCTTAGGTTTTGATCCTTTCATTCTATTATTGCAGATGTCTTCAATCTTGATTCCTTTCATTTTAGTATTGCCAGAGTAGCTCCAGAGGTAGCTAAGTAAGGATTATTTATTTATAGATTGATTGGTTTTCTAGTACAGTATACTATTTTGGAGGCCTTGGTTGTTGAGGGGGGGAGGGGGTTGATTTATCAAGAGTCATCATTATCAACATTACGTGCTTGGAACCTGTGCAAAGCAAGTTATGTTTCATGCATACATTTCACTAGCCAAAATGCATTGCCATTTTGGCTCAAGACTGAGTACTCCCAAAAGTGAACGTACACTCCCGTGATCCTTTTCGTCATTCCTTGTTGCCATCTCCGCCACTGGCTCCGGCATTTTTCGATTGGGAATTGTTGGAACCCTACTGAGGTTGCAGAACGGGAGCAAGAAGTTGGCCATTTTGAAGAGACGCTTTTGGAAGGTGCCGCCGGTGCCCTGGCCGGCTCTTTGCCTGATCCTGCCAGCCCAGATATCCAGGATGAGACGCACTATGTCAAGTGTGAACTTCTTACCCAGGAAGCTGTGCGGGCAAAGATGCAGGAGATGGATGCAGCCATGGCTCAGCTCCATGTGACTCCCCCTACGGGTGCATGGGCCTTCCTGAAGTCCAACCCGGGGGCCAACCTCCCCTCGCTGGAGATGCTGGGCTCCCTGTTACTCGCCTCTTTCCTGATGGAGGAGGGTGTGCGCAATCGACTCCAGTTCCGGATATCTCTTATTTCGGACAGCCAGGGCAATGTTGCTGAACCACTCGACCCGGAAGATGCCAACGGCTACGGTTCTGATGCAACTGGTCCTCTCTCTACCCGGCCACCCCACAGTCATAGGTGTGATTGGGGACAGGCGCCATGGGCCCTGATATCCCTTTCAGCACAGGATGGTGGGCTGGATAGTTTTTTTTACACTTCTCCAGCTTTCATTCCAGCGACACCCATGGACCCGCTTCCTCAGGGTGCCCGGTGTTTGCTTTCCTCCATGGCTCCTTTGTGAGTCAGCTGGGATCGGTGGCGGTTTTGGGTGCCATCCCAGTCTGACATCTGGTGAAATAGACCAACACCATGGAAGGAAAAACTAACCAAACTGCAAAAGGGAGCGCTGACGCTTTTGCTGCTTTGCGTTGGTTTTCGGTCTTGATGTTTCATGAAGCTCACTTTTTTTCATCATTTTTTACATCACTATGTTTGCCAAAGTGGTGCTCTTAAGAGGGGGGTATGTCGGTGACACAAATGATTTGTTAGAACACAACAGCTTTTGAGCTGAAACACTGAGACATTCAATGTACTTACGACTTCAAGTATTGAGGGATCCCCACAATGTTTTGACTGTCAGCGTCCCGACTCTTTCTCCTCCTCTCCTCCCTCCACACTTTGCCATCACACTTCGCATCGCTTTTTTACAGCAGTGGGGAAGTAGTGGGAAGCTTAGTTTTTCCTGCCCTCGGGCTTTAATGAAGAGCCCTTCGCCTGATGGACACATTTTCTGAGATTTTCATGGAATTATTGGTCGAGAGTTGGCAAGCTACGTCGGACAATGCGAGCGCGGCATGTCGGACCCCTCCAATCCCTGCGCAGTTGGCAGCTTTGCCGGTAAATTGTCAACTTCTGTCTTGTTTTGTCAATTGCAGTTTGCACAGGTGGACAATTGAAATTTCTGACTGTAGCCAATGCGGTGACGGAGCTTGAGAGGCTCCGCTGGACGTGCAGTGTTGTGAAGAAGGAGAAGAAAAAAAAGAAGGGAACAATTTGAAGAAGAAGATGACGGACAAACATCTAGGTTTCTGTGATGTGGTTCCATGATAATATCCCGTTCTTGTGCAACATCTTCTTACCTGTGTTCCTGTGTTCTTGACCAATTTTGAGGCTGGCGGAGTGCCGTCTACCAGTCTACCACACAATGTCTGGCACGAAGACTGGTTGTGGATGCAGTAGAGATGATCGAGGTAACGAGGAGATTGTACGATGACTCAACCTAAAATTGTACGTAGTTAGTTTACAGTTTAGAGAGGTATCGTCTATACCGGTAAGTCAGAGTGTATATTTTTAGTTGGCCTTCAGCATAAACACGCGTTGCACAGGTGGTAGGAAACCACACACCTTTTTGCATTCTGACGTCAACTGCAGCTTTGAGTGACGGATCCATGATGAAGTGAATAAGACATGGCAGATCCAATACTTGAAAATGCAAAAATGTTCAGGATTTTCAATATTCGTTTTTATCCACAAAAGAAGCTGCACGGGTAGTTGGGAACCCAAAAACAGTTTTTTTTGGCTGCGACGGCTGCTTTGCTATGGCAAAGCGCAAGGCAGATCAAACAGAGGCCTGAACAGTTGGGACCTGCTTCAGATATCTTCCAGATTCCCTTTTTGAGTCAGCCTCACGGCTTCTGTTTTCTGCCTTGGCTGATCGAACAGGATCAATTTGAAACGCCGCAAAAGCTATCTCGACGTGCTGAGCCTTTGGCAGAGTGTTTGTCGTTGCTGGATGTGCAGCAGGCGGCTTTGCTTTTGTCGTTGTGTTAGCGATTGTTAGCGCAAGAGTCGCACAATGTTTCCGGGTCTTCGTGGCAGGGTGCTACCAACAACCAAGACGAATCAACCCAAGACGAGACTACCGAACAACCTGTGATTGCAAGCAACGAACTGTGCAGTGAAAATGCGAACATGTCCTTTTGAGCTTTGCAGGCAGTGCCAGACTTCGGAGGACTACTCGCCGATTATCTCTGGTGTGATGAGGATGAAACTGCAGAGGTTGGATCTGCCAAGGGCACACGCCCCGTCCAGGAAATGCTGATGACCGGACGTAGTGCGCAGCTGCAGCTCATCACGGGCATGAAAGAAGCGCGGCTCATCGACAGGCCGCCCATGGAAACACGGCGGTATGTGACCTGGCATTCCAGATGCCACGTTGGGTGTTTTTCTTTCATGAAGAGCAATTGACTGTTTTGTTTTTTCCCCACGTCACTGTGCGGGGTTCTTGTTTTTCGCTCTGCGCCCGCCGATCCGGCCGGTCCGTCCCGCCTCTGCCCGCCTCCGCCCACCTCCTCTTACGCAACTCATCTCACACAACTCATCACACACCACTCATCACACACCACTCATCTTACACAACTCGTCTCACACAACTCATCACATCCCATCATCCTTACGCAACTCATCTTACACAACTTATCACACACCACTCATCATATCCCACTCATCTCACACAACTCATCGCACACAACTCATCACACACCACTCATCACATCCCACTCATCTTCAACCACTTAGCGCACACCACTCACCTTCAACTCATCACACACCACTCATCACACACCACTCATCACACAGTGCATTTCGCGTGGCAGGCGCAGTGCGCAGAGCCTCCCGGACAAGCTGTGGAGCGCGTGGCTGCCGCTGGGCTGCGCGTGGCTTTCGTGTGGCAGGCGCAGTACACAGAGCCTCCCGGACAAGCTGCGGCACGTGTGGCCGCCGCTGGGCCGCGCGTGGCTTACGCGTGGCAGGCGCAGTACACAGAGCCTCCCGGACAAGCTGCGGTGGCCGTCGCTGGGCCAATTTGATCGCCAAAAACAAGGTCGAAGCACGAAAAAACGGAATGGCCGTGAATTGGCCGTGAGAAAGCCGGTAAGGCCATGAAAAAGTGTGCATTCGGACGTGAAAAATGGCTCTTGGCCGCGAAAAGGTGTGAAAAACGCGAACGGAGTTGAAGCTGTGAATAAAACCAAATGGCCGTGAAAACGGGCAATGGCATCAAATTACAAAATAGGGTCGAGAGCAGATTGCTCGCATTCTAAGTGATCGAATGGCCAGCCAGGTTCACAGAGCCTCCGAGACAAGCTGCGGCGCGCGTGGCCGCCGCTGGGCCGCGCGTGGCTTACGCGTGGCAGGCGCAGTACACAGAGCCTCCGGGACAAGCTGCGCCGCTGGGCCGCGCGTGGCTTTCGTGTGGCAGGCGCAGTACACAGAGCCTCCCAGACAAGCTGCGGCGTTGGAACTGTATGTTGGAGCCGGAGCAGGTCAAAAGACTCATTGATAAATTTGACTACGGTGGAAATGTTTCCAGACCTTCGACTACGAAGAAGCAGCCACAGCCAAGTGTCGCTCCAGAGATTGAGAGACCGGCGCCATCAGAGGCAGCGTCTTCTAGCCACCAAACACGACAAGAAGATCAACGACAGAATCCCAAAGGGAAGGGAAACGGAAAGCGCAAGGGTGGCAAGAGTTCCAAAGGTCAAGAGCCCACTTGGCAAAGGATCAATTGGAATTACCGAAGTTGGAGCACATATGATCCTACGTTCTTTGATGCAGGATGGACTGACCCACACTGCAGGGAGAACAACCGAGGTTGGGATGACTTTTGGGATGAAGAAGAAAGAAGTGAAGAAGATACCGGACGCCAAGACAAGTTGGTATGAACCTCTGTCAGTCATAAGAGGCATCTTTTACAGTTGAAAGTCACATTGGGACTTGGACCACCTCATGACGAAGATCTACTGACAGAACTCTGAGAGTGGCTAACAACTATCCTTTTACAACTCACTGGGACAGCCATTAGGTCTACTCACACACATTTTATGTGTAAAGTCCGCTTAATTTCAATGGTGCTGGTTAGTACAGAGTCCGTTTCGGCCTCGTGGCACCAATTCGCAGCCCACTGCTTGAAAACACTCACCCTTGAGTTTTGGCTCTGTGTATCTGAAACTGATAGCATCGGATACATGGGGGGTGTCAATGGAAGTGCAGTGACAGGCCATAGTATATGTATAGCTTATACACTGTGTTGACGACCTTTAGCTCAAGGCCCCTATGAGCAGAAAACAGTCGCGTTGCGCCGTTGGATGTTCATGGAACTTGCAATCTTTAACTCCGCTCTTAAGAGGGGCCCTTAGGGATCTGTGATCCATGTTAACCAACTTTTTGTGTGCGCAATGTACTTACTAGAAAAGTTGCAGGCTGCCAACTAGTGGACTAGAGTGATGCTTTCATTGAAGCTGCCGGTAGACGACCACCCTGCCAGTGCCGTTGCTGAGGCCATCATGTGTGACCATTTGACGATGAGCTTCCCCAGCGCATGGAAAGCATCTAAGAAGCTGAGCTTTACGACAACTCCACAAGCAGATCAGAAATTCGTTCGAGCCTTGCTGTCTGCACTGGCTGCCTAGGCGGGACTTTTTTGAGAATTCACGTAACTTGAGGTTTGCTATCCCCTATACTAGTAGCAGTAGCAACGACTTTGAAGTGGTCTTTGCTCCCGTCATCTCCTGTCGGAGGTTTCTTTGTTTGAAGATTCCCCGAACAACTTTGTTTTGACCTGTTCTGTTTTGTTTCAAGTGTTGTGTTTCTGAAAAAGTAGTATAGGCACACAAAATGTCTACTGTACTACTTTATTTGATGTCCTCCTCCCTGAAGGATATTGAAGTGGCAACCTGCAGATGAGTGAAAGATGCAAGCTCGCTGGGGCAGGGGAGTCGACTCTTGCGAGTGACTGCAATGGGGAAAAAGATGGGACAAACATGAACAGGTCAACAGATGGATCGATGACGCTCAATGAAACGGGTTCTTTCATGTTTTTTCTTACTGTTCTTGTTTCCATGGATTTCTCTCGTGTCGCTTGCTTTGCTTGTCGCGCCTTTGCGTCATGCACGGCACTTTGTTTGTCCGGGTCTGTCGCACCTGAGGTTGGACATCCGAGAAGTGGACCGCCATAGGTCGACATCTTTAGGCTCACACTTCAGTCATGTGAGTCAAGTGGATAGTGGAAGTTGCTGGTTGGGACCCTGAAGAGGGACTCATTCGTTTTTCACCTAGAGTCAGGGTCTGTTCAAACATAAGTGGATGCGATTCCAGCCACACTTTGGACCTCCAAGTGGTCGACCAGGCACAACAAGTGTTCGACTAAATTCTGGGTGTGTTCCAAAGTTCAACAATCCACGTACCCCCCTGATAGGAACTCGAACGGCTCAAATCCCCAAGGCTGTTTTGGGCCAATCCCTATATCAACCACCACTTTGGATTTGACGCCGTTCGAATCCTGACTTGGATGTACAATGATGTACATCGTCGTTGGCAACGTCGTTTGGCCTTTCACAGCAGGCTTTTCAGCGCTTGGGCTCGTAATCTGTGCTGTTGCAACCAGCGCCGGATGGCGAAGCGGGGATGCCTGGTTCACACGATTCAACTGATTACGAGGTGCATCAATATTCCAACTCTCTTGATTCCATTCAAAGCCGCAGGAGCGGATTCCAAAGACCATGACACCTCACTGAATCACTGTTTGTTCACAAAGATTAAGACAAATCCTTGGGCCTCATCTAGGAACCACATGATTAGAGGCGCGAGCTATCCTGCGTCCGTCCGACCGACCTCCTGACTTAATTAAGTAGGCGTCTACTGAATGGAGTAGGAGTGGGCCAAAAAAGGATCTTGGATTCCAAAGAATTGAAGGATTCACCGTTTGTTCACCAAAAAACCTCCCTTGGGCTGTCTAAGGCAGGCGGAGAAGAAGGCCTGAGATCAAGGTAGGCGGTGAGCCTTCCCTGGGCCAATGCAACTACAGAAGCTGCCTGAGCCAGCCGAAGGTGCACATGCAACCAGGACCCTAGCAGCCCTAGCAACCAGGCCCTCCGGTCACCCAGGTCATCCCGCACCCCAACCTCGCAACAAGTTCCCCCAAAACAATATCACTGACTCACATATGTAGAAATATATATAAATAACATTCACTTCGTTTTTGTTGTCAGATTCTTTGGATGCAAAGCGACCTTTTCCATGCAATCTTAAGAGCCTTGCTATCAACGCGATCTCCACATGGCGTGACCACGTGACGCGCGAGTTAGAGGGAGCAAAGAGCTCGTGATAGGGCGCAGTTTGCAGCAGTCTTCGGGCCATGAGGACTCAGGGATCACCACCCTGAGCAACTTAAGGGTGTCAGGATTGATTGTCATGCCAGTTCACGAGTGCCTGTTCACGAGATAGAATGCTTCAGACCATATTGGTTCAGTCTTAATTCTAGAATTGGCAAATAATTGCCAAATCTGGAGAGATTAGTTCGAGCATGTTCGAGCTTTGAATGATCATGGGACGTGGAATCAGCAACGGCAACCGGTTGTTAGACTGGATGAAACTGACGCGCATATATTTTGGCTCCAGGATAGCTTGGCCATAAACACAACAGCAGGAGGCCGCAACTAACTAGATGCGATTTGCGAGGCATTAGGTTTGGATTGCCTTACCCCCTACAACATCGCAAGAAGGTATTCTCTTAGACACACAGGTGTGATTTTTTGATTTTTCTCGTGCTTTCCCTACCCTACGTCGGCATGCTATCCATGAACAGTTCCATACGTCGGCCCATCTCAAGACTCGCAGGGTCTGCTTTTTGGATTTCGCTTGGAGAGGGCACAATGGCTCAGATGGCGCAAATGGGCTTTGGCATGCAACAGCAGCTGCAGCAGCAGCAGATGCAGCAGCAAATGATGCAACAGCAGCAGATGATGCAACAGCAGCAGATGATGCAACAGCAGCAACAGCAGATGCAGCTACTTGGTGAATCTAGTCAAGGCCAAAAAGTGTGTTTGACTTCATCGTAGCTGCAATATTCGCAGCTGCCCATCCGAGAGGTGGTGACACTGGTGCTTCTGATCAAGCCAAGGCAGCAGATGATGCAGCCCCAAGTGAATCAGCAGCAGCTTTTACAGCAACTTGGATGAGAAGCAAGGCAAAGAGGTGACAAGGGTGACTTGTTCCATGGATTTGGAACTGAAGGGCTCAAATGCTTGTAAGCACAATTGAATCAAGCACCTTCCTCTTCTCACAGGCTGAACACCTAGCATCCCTCCTTTCGGACTTTTGACCCCTGCAAGCCCTGCCTCGGCATAGAGCTGAGGCAACAACTTCAGAATCAGCTGGGCCAACAGCAAATGATGCCGGTGCAAAACCAGCCAGGGTCTTACATTTGTGCAATTGCATAAGCAGGTGGGTGGAGCTGCAGCATCCCCACAAACACCAAAAAGACATGTGGCACGCCATGTGGCATGCTGCTCCTTCTTCCCCCAGTCACCAAGATAGGGGCTACGCATCGGATGAGCTCAATCGAGATTGCTGTTTAAACGTTGGGTATAGTTTCATAGCTTTGCCCGATGTTGAGAAACTCATGTTTCGAGATTTGTTGGAGACGGGAGTGCGCTGTCATGTTACATGCAAGCCGAGGCAGCAATTCCAGCCACAGCAGATGTCTCAAATGCACCAACAGCAGCAATTGCAACAGCAGCTGCCCCTTGGCAGGAGTGTGTGATTCATCTTTCTTTGGGAAGGGCTTCTTTACATTGTGGTTTGGCGTTTAGAGTCTAGCATGGATTGGATGTGCTTGCAGCTTTTTTAGGCAAATGCAGCTGCAGCAGCAGCAGCAGCCTTCAATGCAACAACAGCAGACCTCCATGCAGCAGCAGCAGCAGCCTCAGCACCAGCAGCCTTCGATGGGATCCATGGGCCAACCAGCGAGCCAGATGATGCAGCAAAAGATGATTTCGCAGCAGCCAGTTCCGCCACGGGTCCATCCCTCACTTCTGAGAAGAGTTCTATTTTATGTCCAATGTGCTAGTCAGATGCGGAAAACGATGCCAGTCAAGTCATATTTTGCTTGCAGGCGGCAGGCGGAAAAGGCACACCTTCAGCATCGTGCGCATCTGAGCAAGAGCGTGTGACAGTCCTTGCCCTCCAACAGCGAGAACTTGGTTCTTTTTGCTATATTTGGGCGATCGGAGGGAGGGTCCGGAAGCAGGGGGTATTGATGGGTATGGGATAGGTGCTGGGGCAGATCCGGAACAGGTTCTGAAGGAGGTTCTCAGCTTGGAGGCATAGCCCTGGCAGAAGGTCTTGGAAGGGCAAAGAGGCCCAGGGGAGGTCTGAGTTTGGTTCCAGCTGGTGAAGGAAGGCCAGCAAAGGTAGCAGTCCGAGCTATTGTGGCTTGCTCGTCCATTTTGCGTAGACCTTTTCCGAGAATGCTGTTGCTGAGGCAACAGCAGGGACAGGCACAAGAGTTTTTGCCTTTGAATGCTTTTGATGTTCATGTTGTTGCCTTGTTTCCTTCAGCATTCATTTGGAGGCAGGGCCTTTGCCCGGAGCATCAACCTACACCGTGATCTCCAAGGGCAACGACCACACTGAAGTCGTCATCAGGATTCTTTGCAGCGAGTAGATCAAAAGGCTCCGACACAGGGGACCATTCAATCGTCTCGGGACAACCCAAGACAATTGGAGTCAAAATGCTCTTTGGAGAGAGGAACATTCTTTCATTTATCAGGACATTGCTCGGAGACTATGTTGAAAAGGGTGTGAACCATGGCCGTAAATACTTTCAGAAGGTGCCAGCCAAGAATGCGTGCAGCCGGCTCGTGTGGCTTTTCTCACTTTGGTTGAGAAGATCACGCCTTCTTCTTGTGGTGTTCTGTTCCATGCTGGAACTTTTCCGCCAGGGGACCAGACTACGTGGAAGTCTTTCTCTACTATTGGGACAACCGAGATGGTGCAAGCTTTGAAGGCCAGATTTGACGAGCTTCGCAGATTCTGTGTATGACATGGCTGATGCCACGAGCTGAAAGGTTGGTGGTTTGGCAACAAACTTGGAGGGACACAGGTGGGAAGGGCACTTTTCCAGTAAGACTCTCACTTAAATATATTAAACTATTCAGTAATCTTTTATGATGATTCAAGTTTTCATGGCTTAAAGTCACACTGATTGCAAACAAAATGCATCCATTTGAGGCAGCCGTTCACGCAGTTCACCCATCTCCCTGCACCTTGTGAGGTTTGGTCACATGTTGCTGACAAGGGCCTGATCCCACCATCCGTTGGATGGAAGATCCCTTGGGATGGCCAAGTGCGGGGCACAGAGATTCTTGACAGGGTGTCCAAGGAGTCTCAACAGAGTTTATTAAAGACGGCAACATAAAGAACACCTAAATATACAAAAGCATAGAGGTTTCTTGTCATAATCGCTTATGTCCCCCACCTTTTCTTGATGTTCAGGTGCGGTCAACCCTTCAACTTGGGCCAAAGGAGGAGATGCACCGACAGGCACTGGCCATTTGAATCATGTCTAGTTGCTCTTCTCACCATCGGCTTTGCTGCTTTGCATTTTTTTGGCATATTTGCTTTTGGTTCTCGGCTTTATCAATGCTCCCATTCTTTACTCCATCCTCAAACTTGAAGAAAGAGCTTTCGGGGGTTGCCATACTGTTCTGGAAGCCACTGGTGCCTCGAATTCAAGACATGAGACATGTCGACTAGTACAGGAGGCTGAGGAGAAGCTGAAAACCATCAGCGCAGATGTGGCCAAAGTGGATGCCGAGGCCAAGCAGGCACTCCAGCAGGCCAGACTTACTGTTTCCAATGTAGCAGCAAAAGGAATGTAATAGGAATGGCCGAATGGCCTCCAACCCAGGAGCGATGGCCTCCAACCTAGAAGCGATGGCCTCCATCCTAATAGCAATGGCCCTAGAAGCAAAAGGAATCTAATGCCCTGCCTGCGGGCCTTGTGAATGTGTTTAGTGACTTCGGCACAGGCCACAACTTTGGCTGGCAACATGGCCAACACCCAGACACTCCTTCAAGCAGAGCAGATCCTCACACCGCACTCCAGCGCCATGATTGAGGCAGCCTGAGCTTCGTTTTGGAGTTTTGGCGGATTTATTTTTTGATTGAGGCAAAGAAGCTTCATCTTTTGGGTCGTGGCTTCTGGTGAGTGGTGGGTTCTTTGCGTTTTGTCGGCTTTGGTGTCTTCTCTCCTGGCTTCTGTCGGCATTTTGCCGGCTTTTGATGGCTTGCATAACTTGAATGGATCTTGGTGGCTTCTGTTGGCCGGCCCACGAAATCTGCCAAATATCTTTGATCACGAAATCTGACACCCTTGCACCAGTCTTTTTTGTGTTGATTCTATTCTTTTTCTTGTTAGTCTTCTTTTCTTCTCCTTGAGGAACCCTCCACCCAAACAAGTTCCCAATAAAGACATCAATCCCAAAAGTTTGAGTTCCTGCCCTTGGTACAAAGCCTTGAATCCGCTGGATTCTGGGTACATCATATAGTGTTGGTTTTGGCTATCAAACTATGTCAATGTCACCTATCATGCGATCCCTCAACACGGACCCCACAAAGTTTGGGGGTGGCCCACAGCTCGGATGCGATCGCGGTGGGCGGTGCCCCCCAAACCGCCTGGCAAGGTGCAGAAGAAGTTGGCGGAGGGGCAGCGGGGCACCAGCGGAGAAATGGGAAGGAGCTTTGTCCAGCTGGCAAATCAGCTAAGGACCCGTCACCGGAAAGCCCGGTCGTGGGGAGAAAAGAAACGATGCGACACCGGAAAGCCCGGTCGGATGCACATCAAAAACCGTTGAAGAGGGATCTGATTCTGAAGCAAGTTCTCCTTGTACCGCACTGGTTTTGAAGCGACGGTGATATTATCATCCAGAGTTTTCAACAGCGGATTTTTTCAAGATGAGTTGGGGCATCCCTTTGGCGGCTTTGGGGGGTCGCCAAACTTATAAAAATCTTCATTGGAGAGAGCCTGTTTGCACAATTTTTAAAAGGCAAAAAAGTCAGTCCCAAAAGTCAAAGTCAAAAAAAGTCAAATCAGAGATCCGACTTTTTCTTTACTTTTGATTTTCTAATTTTGTTTTTTTTTTGTCCGACGTTTGTTTGTTTGTTTTATTTATTAATTATTATTATTATTATATTTTTTTTAAACCTTTTTTTTTCTCCGACTCTTTTTTTTTTTTTAATTTTTTTTTTTTTACTTTTTTTTTTTTTCGACATTTGTTTTTTTTACTTTTTTTTCGTTTTAAATTTACTTTTTTTGACTTTGACTTTTCCATTTGACTCGTTTTTCGACTTTTTTCGACTTTTTTAAATCAAGGATTCTGGCCTTACCATATGACAGATCTTTTGACGCTAAACAGTTTTGAAACGCACCCTTCTAGAGAAAAGATACGTTGGCCTGGTGAGTTTGTAATGCTTTTAAAGCAGCAGCACTGGAGACTAAAGGATCCTAGAACGTGATGTCTCTGTAAACTGGAAGCAAGACAAATGAGCAGCACACATGTTTTGAGAAGTGAGATGAGAAGGCTCACATGGTGGTCCTAGGGATTGTGGGACTCGTTGAATTTGTCAACCTGACACTTTGAGGAAAGGAATCCATTGACCATTTTGGAAACATGCCCTACACTGAATCTGCAACGTCAGGTTCAAGACATCGTTGTTTTCTTTCTTGTTTTATCTTTGCGTGCATCCTTGAAGGATGCTGGGGGGGTGTTCGTTCTTGCAAGGATGACACAGCAGAATCTGACACAGACCATCACCAAGTACCGGGGCGCCCGATCGCAGGCGAGCAGAACACGTGTCGAAGCCGATGAGCAAACTGAGGGGAATCTTGGGGAATCGTTTGAATCTTCTGACCCCAGTGGCGAGCTACTGAAACATTTTTTGTGTTGGGCTCACAAGAAGAAGTCATGTAGAGTCATAGAGGTCGGCTGTTGATAGAATCTGATAAACAAGACGAAGATTTGGAGATGTTCGCCCATCGTCAACATTGAGCTATGGTTGAATCGAATCTGTCACCAGGCTGAGCAGCAGGTCAGGACCGCCGAGGCGGAACTCCGCGAGACCAAGTCCTTTGAGGACGGTCCGGGCAGAGGTGATCGACCACTTAACTATTCTGTGATTCTCCGGAATCGCAAATGATGTGTGAGGAATGACATGAGTGATCGAAAGTGCTCAAGTGGAGATGGTACACATGGCCCACATGTTAAACAGCTGCATACATGCACAAAGGGAACATGAATCACAATGAAACAGGACTGGCAACTATTGAAAGACAACGCGACACCTCTGGTGGAACTTGTGTGGGTCTTGTGTTTTGTCTCGCATTACAGCACAATATGGCATTGAATGATCCACAGCGTGCCCAACTTCCCTCACGCGATGTCTTTTGCATGTCTGTTCTACGTCCAAGATTTGCAACCATCATGGTGTCTCACATGCAGTCGAGATGTGGTGTTTTCCTGCTTCTGGCAGGACATGCTTCCACAGGTGACTCAAAAATGCACTGGAGCTGAGGAAGCCATGGAGAAGGTGGGTGGTTGTGGAGGGAACTGGCCTGGTTGTCTTCGGAAAGGTGGCCTTTAGCAACCCACAAGATAGGTCAACAGTCAACGGTAGCGATTCTGTATGCCCATCCAACTCAAGCACAGGAGCCTTTCCCTGATTTCAATCACCTGGGCCCTTGGTATCCCTTGCTCCTTTCTGAAGTCGCCACATGGCAAAAAAGTCAAAAAACACCTGCTCCATGAATGTGTGAGGTTTTACTGGTAGTTCCAATCCAGCCATGTTTTGAAACAATCCGAGGTAGTGGTTCTCTAAACGAAGGGTGACGTTGATCCATTTGAGACTTGAGACTCCTTCCGCCGCAGGCGGTTGCAACCCACGAAGCTATTGCCGGAGCTGGAGACGATCTAGTGCAGGCCAGAAGATCGGACGACGACCTTGATACCTCGCTCGGGACGACCGGTCATGAGGTCTCTCCGCTCAGGTACCGTGTCATCGCACCTGTGAGCCGCAGGCAGAGAAGGCAGTACAGGAAACAGAAGAAGCTGTGAGGGAGGCGGAGAAGAAAATCGGCGAGGCTTCTGGAGCGGAACGCCTCGAACCAAGCGGAATCCTTGCAAGCTGCCACTCGTAGAATCCCAGCTGACGGTCATTCTCCTTGAAGCAGTTGATTTTACAACTGTCACTGTGCTTACCTTTGTTACTCTGGGATTCTGTTTAAACTTTTCTAATCTCTTTTGGCATTTTTCAATCGAACAACTGAATGCGGACAGCAGTAAGATAAGTGCGACATCATGGCTTGCTGGACAGGCCAGAGTGATGCTGACAGCAACTTTGAAGCATTTCAATTTCTGAAGGAAGCATGACATGCAACTGATTCTTGCTCTGTCTCATTGACATTTGCTCAGGGCGAGGTCAATTGTGATACCTTTGAGGGCATTGCCGAAAGATTATATATTATATATATATTATATGAACATACTAATGTCTTAGTCTTAGTCTTATATACTTCGTTTGGCTGGCTGAGGGTAAGATGAGCATCGCCAAGCGCTTCGAATCGCAAAAGATCCGAGAGAACGCCAGCCAAGAACTCACCAAAATGATGACCAAACTCCAGACGGTCCCATTCTCAGTCCATACTGTCTCAAGCACTCGGCACTTCTGTCAGTTTCAGTCTGTGTGACTCTGCTGCCATTGTCCTGTTGAGGTGCAAAGCAAGCTGCTGCCGCTGAAAAATGCCCGGAATGACTTTCAGCAGCGCAAGACAGTACAGCTGAGCCTTGAAGCCAAGGGTTTTGAAGCCAGGTTTCTTTCGGAAGGATGAAGTCGGATGAAGCGTGAAACGATCAGCACGCGTTCTCATGGCAAAGGCCTAGCCCCCCTAGCGGCCCCAGTCAGGGCCATTTCCCAAAACGAGGCTGGTAGAGGTAGCGGGTAGTTCAGGATCAAAAACACTTTCTTGACATTGGGTCACATGGGTGACATTGGATTTTGGAACGTGTTGGACCCCCTTCTGTGCCGAGGTTAATGATCAAATTCAAGTTTTGCTTGTTGTGCTTGGGTGCCTTTCTTGTCATCCTCTTGGTCATTTTCCATTGTTGAAAGGATGTGCTTCTTCTGTGACACACATGCAAATGAACGCCAGACTGAGGGCCATGAAGGAAATCGGGGAGAAGCTGAGCCCCATTGAGCAGGTCCTGTCAGAGGCGGAGAAGAACCTCAAGGAGGACCTAAGCAGAGCGCTAGCGGAACCAGCTCAATGCTGTGAAAGCGCAAGCGAGGGGAGCTCGTGTCTCATTCTCGGTTGAAGATGAGGTCTCGGATAAGAAAAACATAGAAAGTATATAGCTTCTTGTTACTAGTAAGTAGGGGTGCCAGGAGCTAGTAGTAGCGTCCTTGCGCACCTTGTTACTAGTAACTTATGTTTGATGGTTGTGCCAAGTAGATTGTTTCTTAAGTCGGACACGACATCATTGGATCATTATGCCGTTTTCCATTTAGTAGCAGCTGAGTTTGATCAAACATGAATCCAGCGCTTACAGGTTTTTACGTTTTCTTTTTTTCCCTTCGGATCTTTGAAGTAGCTAGGGTGAACATGTCCAATTTGCACGGGGGCCTGTCTGCTTCGCTACTTCATAACATGCTTGCGGCAGTATCATGCCTTCACCGCGCACGCACGCAGGAGATTCCCATCGAGGCTTCTTCTCTTGAACGATCGGCCGAGCAGTTGCAGAGCCTGATCAAACTTTGCACCTTGTGCAGTGCTCAGTGACTTTTCCACCAACACACACGCACGAGTCCAAGAGCAGAAGGAACGAGCGGTTCGGAGGTTTGAACCGATCTGTTGAGGTTTTTGGGGCCGAGGTCCCGTCGTTGAGGGTGTTTGTTGAGGCTGACATTCTCACAGAATGAACATTGTGTTTTGGTGCTGAACTGAAGCCAAACAAAATGAGCTGACACAAACACACACACATACACATACACACTTGCAAATTCAATGAGGCAGTAGAACATCAAGAATTGATTGGAAACTCCAGAACATGATGCCAGCTGCAGAGCATCAAAACCCACAAGAGCAAGGCGTTTGGAATCGCTTGGACACAAGAATGAGACTCAGTCACACGACGCGAGTAAGGATGGAGGGTCTCCATTTTGGTTCAAGATGTTGCAGGTGCTTAGGCTCCACACCGCTGCAAGAATGCTTGAGATCTCATCATAGCCTCAGACTGGTGCAAAGAAGCACCAACCTTCACCATAGCTCACCATAAAAGAGCAAACGCATGCAAACACAAACACACTGGGATGAACTGGGTCACCGCACCAGAAAACTATTTTCGCTTGCGAGGAAAATCGATGCAATCTTGCTAGGAGAATCGATGCAATCACAAGTTTGATCGGTTTGTGTACCCTCTTGATTGCAGTCGCGAGTCCCTCATGCTTTTCTGTCCAAAAGTCAAAAAAAGGACAGAGGCCAAAGATTGATTGGTCATGGCCAGTTCTTACCTCTCTCACGATCCCTCACGCCTGGCGCGAACCCTTTTCGAAGCTCCTGCAAATTGGCCCGACGTCCATGAAGGAAAACATCATTTTGCATCATGCCTCGGGGCAGAAAGACTTGGTCGTGGACTGTCGAAACCTTTCCTTGCAGTCCTTGCACCGCTCTCGCAGCCTCATTTTTCCCACTGCTTTTCCTGTACTAGTTAGCCCCGTGCTGAGGAGAAAAGCGAGTGGTGGGTCAATGGTCGCCAAGGCACAGCAATCTACATCCCTGTTTCTGCTAAGTGTGACAGACTTT